TTACCAATTATAATAGAAAAAGTATTGTATAAAGCAAATAAATGTAGCCAAGAAGTTGAAGGTATTTAATCAATTGGAATTGTTATGTTATGGGTCTGTTATAATCAAACGAAAAGCAGTGACGCTGTTTTTTGAATAATAAATCATAAATTTTTGATGTATTAATTGTTATTATCAAAAATGCATCTTGTCCGACTGGTAATGAAAATTGCGAAAGTGAATTTCCGAGCATTAATTGAGAGGCGTAGGAGCTTCGGAACAGATGTTGCCTTCCTTAATGTGTAAGGTGGAGAAGAGGGCATGAACGGGCCCGAGGGAGGAGGATAAAACCGCAAGTGAAGCATAAAACAAGTGATGTTATAATGGAAATGATGTGATGGTTATGTATGAGCCTCTTTCCAAACAAACACTTGCACTACCCTTGTGTACACATTTGGGACGTATCTTCTTAGTGTTGGTACATCGAATTAATAAACGGTTACCAGGAAGAGCCGTGGTTTACCTCCACGTTTCAGTTCGAGGAACGTTGTGTACATTCCCTTTTGATTTGTATACTGATATATGCACGGAATATGAAATGTTTTAATAACGAACAGCCAATTCAGCTGTGTAACACTGTAAACTCGTCTCTGGTCCATGTTATTTCCTTGGAAACTGAAACTATTACAGTCTACATTATTGTTACTCTCTAAGCTCTTGTCGTTTAGAGAATTTTTTAACGTCACAACCATCCTACCTTAAAAAAATGATAAAAAGTTAAATTCACTAATTTCGTGGTCCGCTTGACCAATTAATATATTACAATTAATTAAGGCTTTTAGTTGAGATAAAAAAGTCAATGGCACGAGCGGGATTCGAACCCCCATTGAAAAATGGCAAAAAGGAGGGAAAATTCAAAAGGTGGGATTGAGATGGGAAGTTGGTGTCCGAGTGGATCGAGGTCACGATAGCTAGTGGTAGAGCAGCGGCGTATCTAGCCGAAGATCGTGGGTTCGAATCCCGCTCGTGCCACTGACTTTATTATCTCAACTAAAAACCTTATTAATTGTAATGATAAAAAGTTTTGCATTGCTTGGATGATAAGTTTCTTTTACGAGGGTTCGCAACAGCAGAGGTTATATCAACTCTCGGGGTGCGGTGTTTTTGAAAAAAGCCCATTTATAAGTATGTCGGATTCGAATGCAGGGCCGCTGGATTCGAACCCTGGACCTTCACCTTACAGTGATGAGGGCCGTGTCAACGCCTAAACCGCTGAGGCCACCGATGCTTAGTTTTGTATTTGTTAAGAAAAAAATTACTTAAAATATTATTTCCTTATTAATTATAACTGGTATTCGTATGGCATAGAATTTAACAAAATTTGCATGTTTGCTCGCAGTATCCATGAAAAGAATCTTCCAAAAAGGATTCTTCTGGATTACGAAATTTGATGATATCACAATATTTTACCACGTGATCACATCCGGATCGTAACGAGAGCATTGGTAATAGAACAGGTGGGTCTAACACGATCGCTATCTACTCCCTGAGTAGTTGAGAGAACCACTCGGACCGACTGGGAAAACATACCCGATTATTACATTTCTGCAGTTAAACCGAGAGCTTAAAAATTAAACAAACAAGTTTCACCTATCGGGAAGGTTTTAACCGTTCAATTTACATCTGTGAAATATGTGGAGTTTAAGTTCATGGGCCTGATGGAAGGTGAGAAGTGGAGTAATAATCAAAAACCTGCATTTAGGAGAACATGTTATGGACATCAAACTTTTTTTTCGTTTTATTGGAATCAGAGGCTCAAGTGTATTGTATCAACTTTCTCTCTCTCGCTCTCTCGCTCGCTCTCTCTCTCTCTCTCTCTCTCTCTCTCTCTCTCACTCTCTCTCTCCCGCTCATACTCTCTCTTTCACACTACATATCTCTCTCTCTCTCTCACACACACACATACACACGCACGCACACGCGCACGCACACACACACGCACACACACATTGCCGTAAGCCCGCATCAATAATTACAACTGGTTATTATTACCTTGGACAATAAGGGTTAATCTAGTCATCCGGCTTTAATAAGGGTGGTTCGTCTTGGTAGCTGTCTAGGGTCAGGTGTAGACTTTCAATTTGCAGCTGGCTGCCCACACGGTTTCGCAGACACGTGCAAAAACTTTAAAGCGTACCGGGGTAATTGTTCTGTTGATAGAAGTCAAAGGATGAACACGTGCCCGCATTTAGCCTTAAACTCGATTAATATACCAGGCTGCTAATTACATAATTTACCACGACGTGTATGTTTTGATGGGTACTATTGAAATTTAAGAATGTGAACGTTCAATGCCTTATGAAGAGATTTTTTCTTTTTTGTAGGCTTATGAACCTGTTTTTTTAAGCTTAAAATTGTCTTGGCACGTGTCAGTTTGTGCCGTCACGATATCTTCATTGGTAGTGTTAATTTTGAAGAGAAATCAAAAGATTGTAGTATTCCACTAACTTACAAATCCACAATTTAGTAAAAAGCTATATGCCCAGACGTGTCTGATAAAGAACAATAAGGAGGATCTGAAACGATCGAACTATAATTTTTGTAACTATTACCATTTTAAAAAACTAATATTTTTTATCTAGATAAAAATTATACTAAAACGTATTTTTCTTCATTTCGAGCTGAAAACCATAGCTCTTTTCCTTCTGATATACGACTGCAAGGCTAGGCAGACCAAATTGACATAGGACATGTCGAAACTAAAGTTTTCCATTTTTGGTAATGTTTTACTGCTTAAAAGAAAAAGTCACAGATTTTTTTTTACCTGAAAATAATTTTACATACAATTTTTGACAATTCAAAGCTCAAAGCTGCAGCTATTTCCATCACAATAGTTGTTTTTAATAAGTTTACAGCTTAAAAAATCAGATATGTTTTGATTTATATCGACATAAAAATGATTTAAAAATTCTAGCAGAAATTAAGTTCTCTTTTCCTTTTGACATACGAAAACTGCGAAGCTAGGCGGACCAAAATGATGAGAATCCCTGAAACTACAGCTTTTACGTTTTTTGTTATGTTCACTCTTCAAAAAAAAGAAGCTTATTCTACTTTCTAACTATCTCACTGTTTTATTATGACATCAGGAAAATAGTGATGGCTTCAAGTTCGAAATTGCTTAATATACGTTTTGATATAATTTTTATGTATAGAAAAATTATACGTTTTGATATAATTTTTATGTACAGAAAAATTAAAACATATCGGTATTTTTTAAACAGTAAACAAAAGAAAAACTGTGGTTCGAACGTTTCCGATCATCATGGTTTCGCTGCTTTCTTATGTCAAAAGAAAAATAGGAACAGTTTTCACCTCAAAATTATCTAACATTAGATGTAAAAACATTTTAAGTATAAGGTGAAAATATTAGTTGCTTTTTTTTAAAGCGTATAAAAAATATTCAGTTTTGACGTTTTGAATTATCATGATCGCCAATTCTCGCAGTTATGATATGCCGACGGAAAGAGCTACAGCTTCCAGCTTCGAATTATTGAAGGTTTGTTGTAAAATCATTTTAGGAGCAAGAAAAACCTATACATGTTTTCTGTAAGTAGTAGTAAACATACTAAAAACTGAAAAACTATAGTTTTGACTTTTCCGATTACTTCGTCTAGTACCGTCTAGCCTCGCAATTTTCATATGTCAGCCGGAAAATAGTAAAAGCATTAAGCAGTTTTGTCAGACTGATAAAAATTACAAAAAATATAGTTTAATTGTTTCTAATTTGCAGTCTTCTTTGCCGTTTTTATTTATCAGGCGCGTCTCGGCATAAAGCCTTCTTCTAATGAAAGGTTTTTTATTTCTTTTTCTTTTAACCTTGTACAGGAACTTCGTTGATTCTTTTGAAATTTCAACTATATAAAATATCTTAATTTTATTTGGTCCTCTACTTAAAATGCTTTTAAGTTTTGCTGTTTGGACAAAATAAATAATGCAATAAGGACACTAATTTATGCAAAAGGATAAGTTGATTTTTTAAAAACGCCGTAAGATTTCAGGTCAGATTTAAACGAATCTGGCCAAAGCATGAACAATTGACTTATAACAATAATATCCTGGATTGACAGGATTTAAGAATTGAGATTTCTGTTTTATTTTACTTTTTATCACATAAAACCTAAAAGTTGTCTTTGAATAATGATTCTTTAAAATTATAATAACGTACAGACTGGCTTTGGCTGTTTCCGTTTTGTCCATGCCCTAAGAATAAATTACAGTAAGTGAGAGTGGCCCAAAATTATTCAAAACGTAACTTACATGTTTAAATTGTTGCTAACCGACTGGACACCTTGATCAATATACTTTATCGAATAGATTTTTATTATAATTATTAAATTTAAATACTTCTAGTGCTCTCTAAAAACAGTTTAATATAAAAACAGAAAGAAGAAGAATTATGGTAGGCAAATCTAGTAACAAAAACGAGCACAGGCTTTTGATACATCCCAAAACCAGTAGCCACGTGTCACAATAAGCGGGACAAAAAGTATATTTACAGAGGTTATTAATCTTCAAACAATGTGTTTAACGTCATATTTAAAAAACTATTAAAAAAAAGTTTATTGGTGTAATTGGTGTCATTAGATCGGGGATAGAGGGCGATTAGAGCGCAACGCTAGGCCTGAGACTGACCATTGGCTAGGGCAGGTGGTCGAACCACCTTGCTTCCTCCCGTCCTCCAATTATTTTTACGTTCCACATCCTCGGTCTGAGACGGAGCGGCTTTTTTATCTGATGACACGGGGTATCGCATATCTCTCTGTTCGACAATCTACTACACCAGAAACAATTCATTAGGAGATGACTATCAGGGGTGGTGGAGAGGTGTCATCGATGTCACATATCATGCTACCGAGCTTATCATGGCAATTGTCATTTTTTCTTTTTTAATTGAGCCTGGCATGTCGTGCGACTTGTAAAAAAACGTGTGAACTAAACGGTAATTTAATTCTCTGTTTCAGGTCTCTCCAATGGCTATACAACAGCTCATGGTCACTTGAGGAAAACAGGGACAAACAATATGAACAATAGCAAATAAAATTATTCAAAAAATACTTTGATGTTCTTTATCCTTCTATATCCATGAAATATTTTTGTGTAAACAGTGTAGAAAATCACCTGAAGGGTATGTGTAATTTGTACTATCAGTTACTAGCTCTATTCCCTCTTATTCTGTCCCTCTATGTTTTAGTTTGTCTAACAAACTCTGCCTATATTCCTCTCAATCTCTCTCACCCTCTCATTCTTTCTCATTCGCTCTCTCTCCCTCTCTCTCTCTCTCTCTCTCTCTCTCTCTCTCTCTCTCTCTCTCTCTCTCTATCTATCTATCTATTTGACTATCTGTCTATCTATCTATCTCTCTATCTCTCTCTCTATCTATTTATCTATCTATATATCGATCTATCTACCTCTTTCTAAAAAGAGTCATGAGTTTATTGCTATTACCCTTTTCTTTCTATTTTTCCCACTTTCTACGCTACCTCATATTTTCTTACTCACTTTCTCCCTTTCTCTCTCTTTATGCTCTATCCATTTGTCTTTCTCCCTATCACTTCTCTCTCTTTCTCTTTCTTTCTCCGTCTTCTCTCTCTCGGTCTCCTTCATTTCCCTTAGAGAAAAATATGGGGACCATGGACTAGTCAAATCGGTGCTACAAAACGTGCATATTAATAACGTTAATCATGTTATGTGAACAAACATACATTCATTATCTATACATTGTATATAATGGAATAACAAAAGGATAATTTTCAAATCAAATATTTTTATTCTATAGTATGTTTGGTATTAGTGAGTAACGGCATATTTTTAAATTTAATTAAGGAATTCAGGGAAAAATGTTGGTAATTTATGGGTACAGATTGTAACGAAAATAAATTACTGTTAGCTTTAGCTTGCTTTTAGGGGTTTTTCATTGTGTGTTCATTAAATAATTAAAGAGAACATAAACTAAAGACAATTAATATATGTCAGGAAGTATGCTAGATTTTGAAAAAGAGCAATGATCTCACGGCTGTTATCTAAAAGGGAATTGCATCCGTTTGTACACACAATCTAAGTTATTTTTGTTGAAAAAATCGGGTCTCAGTTAATTAATATTCTTATTCTCTGGTCCATGTGAGAAAAACGTATGTATAAGAAAAATTATGAAAATAATTCCGAAAATAAAATATAAAGATACCAAAACAAGAACCTTAATTGCTTAGACAATTGAGACCCGAAATGAATTGAACATAATTAAGTCTAAAAAAAGATGATAATAATAATAAAAGCGCTTCACCGACCTCGGAGAGGATTCAAGAAGCCAGGATCGTGTCAACTAATTACCCAAAATAAAAGAGATTTGGGGAAGTCGGAATGAGTAATGTATGGTAATGTTTTGAGAGGAAGTCCCCTGGTCGAGTCTTATCTATGCAAATGGTAAGAAGAGGAAGGAAACATCTCGTCTCTCCTCGGCAGTTATTTATTAAAAGGACCAACTGTTTGGTCCTCGGCTCTAATTACTGCTGCCCCCACCGGGTGTCTTCTACGCTCGCCGAGGGTGTCCCTGGAAACCTCACGCACGCGATTAAACGACAGAAAAATGTGAAAAGAAAAAAAAACTGGCAACGATTTATGAGTTTCGTAGGCGCATGTTTTCGATGAACCGTCAACGATTTTGGAAAAAGAAAAAAAAATAAGACGAAGAAAGACCGAAAAAAACATCCAAACAGTTACTCCAGAAAGTAAGAAAATACAAATGTTTAATTGGGCCAATAATTTTAGAAAATTCTACCGATTGAACATGAATTTTTTGGGGGCGTGGGGGGGGCAAGTAAAGATAGCCATTTATATATTCATTTTTTGGTAATGTATTGATTACGTGATAAATTTAGATTTTGCCTAGCCACGTTCCTTCCTACACACTTCAAGGATCCCTTTTTTGGGTAATTGCTTTTCTTTTTAAACTTTGATATGACTTTCATATATAAGTTTTGATATAAACTTTCATCATGATGTCTACCTGACGATGAACTTGTGACTTACGATTTTTCCTTCTTGAAGGTGGGATAATAATAGGTCATCTCAAAAAAACCACAACCAGTTTTTATCCACAACGTTCCGTTGATATCTCCCAAGATTATAGTAGTGATGTTTTCTTATATTTCGACCTCAACAGTTTAACTTATGATTTTTCCTTCTTGAAGGTGGAATAATAGGTCATCTCAAAAAAGCCACAACCAGGTTTTATCCACAACGTTCCGTTGATATCTCCCACCTTCAAGAAGGAAAAATCATAAGTTAAACTGTTGAGGTCGAAATATAAGAAAAGATGAACTTGTAGTTTAGTCGTTCTGTTTGGACATCTGGACGCGTTTTTCCTTGCCATTTTCACCGGTGGATCTGTTTCATTATTATTTAGTCGGTTCTCTATTACATCGCACTTATCTAAAAATCAAACACCAAATTTCGTGACATTTCTGCCCGATCGTGAACCTTTTGGAATGATCCGTACGTATTCGCTTGCTTTGACTATCAGAAGATTATCTCTATTATTTTGCATACTTGGCAATCGTCCTGGTTTCAATAAGACAATAATAATAATAATACAAGATAAACTAACATAAAAAACACTATAGAATCACTGATTACAAAACTCAACCGACCATTTTTGAATAATTGGAGAAGATTTTAAATTATGTTAAGCCTTTTTACGACCATTTATCCTTGCCATTCTGAAACAGTACACAGCATGTAAAATTTTCTTTCAAAGTTAAAAGGAACAACTACTTTTTTGAGTTTATTAATGTATACAATTCCCATGTTGGACATACGGTTCACTAAATAGGGCGTTCGACTCTTATTTGCCACGATAGAGGATCTGGGTTCGAATCCCGGCATAGAACGAGGAAATTTAAGTTGTAATATTATGTAAAATTGATACCCAAATACCCAACGGATTGTAGGACGTTAAGCCCTCCTGTATGGCACAGGGCTTCTTTTATTTGTGTGATATTGGAAGAAAGCCTTCATAACATATCTCATGCGGCAACCAACTCCATTTTTGTTCTCATAACAATAAATTAAAGAAATTGTGGTTTTGTGAATTTTTTCCATGTTACTGCGGGTTGATGAACAAAAGGCTGATTTGACTGGAACAATATTATTGTTAACTTTTTGTTATGGTTACGGTTGTGAATACAGGGCAAACAATAGGTCTAGTAATTAGGAAACTATCCGGTTTGGCAAGGGCCAGTAGACGGATCAGTGTCCGCGGGTCCGGTGATGGATTGGCCCATAAATCTCGTGGGACATCGCATCCATCATCATGTGTTTACAATACCTGTACCATCTGGAAGGCTTTGGGGGTGGAAAAGATGTACAAATAGGTTGAGGACGTGAAAACCGCCTGTTCATTGTGCATCACCCACTCAAAAAATATGATAGTAAAATACTTAGGGTAGAGAATCTTTAAGAAAAGGTTTATTAAATATATTGATTTAAAAAAATGTTTATTGCTAAGATCAGTGTTCCCTACCGTTATAAAAAAGACCGTTGCGGAAAGATAATCTTTTTAAAAACGGAAAATGTCCTACCGGTAGCAACAGCTGATCTACAAAAACATTTCACCCTCGCCGCCTCATATACATACAAATGAGGGTGTAGACTCGCGTTTATGAATTATTAATACATTTTTAATTCCCTTCCTGGGGATAACGTCGTAAACCCTTTTTACTGGTATAATAATTGGGTTAATTGATGCTGAGACGGTGGAAGGGACAGTCGCGTGTGTCCGATACCATTGTATTAACATATATTTGCATTGGACATTTGGCCGCAAGGACTAGTGGAGAAAAATTACATCAGATACATTGCTCGGGCCCTCATCAAGGCTGGTATCTTTTTGCATTAGATGTCACGTTTCTTTTCTAACGATAATTACATCCGAACTATAAAAGGAGAAAAAGTATTTCTTTATTTTTTACACATTATGCGTGTTTGTATTTATGAATTGAAAAATAAGGGAGATAAGAACTTCATCACACCTAGAAAAGATCAAGTTTTTTAATCTCTTTTTACAAATTATATTTGTCGAAAATAAACATTTACCGGTGAAATTGGTCACACTTAAAATATATAAAAAATAAATAAATAAAGAGATATAGAGATAAAAATGATGACTGTTGATGTAAACTATTTCCAAAAAGTTACGTTTATTTTTGTTTTGTTCTGTGTGTAATATTCTTGGATTGTTGAAGTCGAAATTGCATTGGTGTTCATAATGGTGGGTAGCCAGTGCTTTAGGATTTTGTTTGGGTTTTTTGCAGTCATAGGTATGTTGCTTTACTCTCTTATCCAGATATTGGGATGTAATTCCAATGTAAGTTGCCGATCAGTTTAAACAATGGAATTTGTAAATTACGTCAGGCTTATTTGTTACTGGTGTGGGCTCTTTAATTTTGGAAAAAAGTGTGTGAATTGTTTTATAGTTTTTAAAAGCTATTTTAAAATTATCAGAAGAGAGAAATGTGTTTAATTTATGTGATTAGCCGTGTATGAATTGCACGGATATTGGTTTGTCTCTATTCGATAGATTTGATGTGGTATTATTAGTAGTAGAGAGAGAGAACGACAGAAAGAAACTGTTTGAGAGAGAGAAAATTTGAGCAGATGGGAATTGAACTTTATATTTTTCCTCGGAAAAATATGTTTCACTGAACCTTTCTTACATAGAGACAGAAAGAGTGAAATAAGAGATAGAGAAATAGATAGACAAATAGATCGATAGTTAGATAAAGGAGGGAGAGAGAGAGAGAGAGAGAGAGAATATTAAAGAAGGAGAAATAAATAACCATCAATTTTTAACTGTTATGAAAGAAAACATGATTTATATAAATTATATTATTTTTATTCCCTCACAACTGATTAAAGTCACTTGCAGCGTATAGTGCATTATATTCGACGACTCGGATCTCCAAAGAAAGAGAGAAATAGAAGGTATAGTTAAATAAATTTAACAGTAGTGCTAAATAGAAGTACCAGATTATTAGGAAAGATGAAATGGG